ATAGTGATTTAGTCCTTAGGATTTTATATTTTGATTAAGTCAAACAAATGAAGTAAATCAATTGGTAGAAATAGGTTAGTTTATAACAATTTTATTTATGTCAGGTTTTTCCATTTGTGTGGGAATAGCAAGTTGGAATCTGTAGTAGATTGTTTATTTTAATTAATCTGACAGCTGATCTATTGAAGTAATTTAAATAGCGTTCAGTGCATTTCCAGTGTATGGATCATCAATATAGATACCTACCAAAATAAATAATTACATTGATCAAATATGATGGCAGCGTATAGCCATTACTGTTTCTTTTTAATAGGGAATTGATTGAGCAAAAATTATGTTGCAATCACTTTTGCAGAAAATAGAAGTATCTTTAGTTTTTGGGTAAATATTTTAAAGCACGAATCATTGGAAAATTCATTTCCAACCTACATTGAGCTCAGTAGGATCGTATCCAACTTATTTTAGTTAATGCAAAATTTCAGAAACATTCCAAAATACTTTAGAGCAGAAATTGCTGAATGGGAAAAATGGTAATGATTCAATTTTATGGATTGTTTCAAATGTTCTACTATTTCCAAATTTTTTTAGGAATATTGCAAAAATCAGTACAATTTTTCTGTTATGTATATGGTATTGGTTCATAAATTTAATATATGCTTGAAAATAGAATTGATTATTTATTTGTTCTCTTTTATATCTGCATAAATCCTTTATTTTGCGGTGCGTATGTTACTTACATAGAACAAAACACAAGTGAATTGTTTATAATCTGAAAAATTGTGAAACGGCGACGATAAAAAAATAAATGGAGAAACGTTGGATCAAAAGATTAGTCCTAAAAATACCGAGAAACATTTCTCCTGTCTATGAGTAAAACAGTTATCTCGCGATTAGTCATTTTTAAGCTTCTGTAAATATTTCAGTATGGAATTATTACTCATAACTTTGATAGACGTATTCTCAACATCAAATAATGTCTACATACTGAAAATAAAATGGTACGTAAAACACAATGCCAACAACTTTATTTTATAGATAATCTTGAACGAGTATATGTCGCACGTAAATGAAAAAGCTCTATTATCGGTAAAACTGTAATATGACTTCATGTGATTTGTTTAATAGATGTAGTATTAAAAGCCTTATCGCTTTTTATAAAATAAGCTATACATTTCTGTCGTGTAATCCTTTAGTTGAACCATGATGAAAATTATGTGAAAGTCGTTCTTATTAGAGAATCGCTTGTTACATTTCAAACATTTGTGGATGTTTCTGTTCTAGCAATAAAATTAAATGAAAGACAAACGAAATTAAGAATAACTTTTGTTTTGCTAAATGTTTGCTGTTCTTTTTTATGATCTCAAATAGCTTTTAGTGCCAAAAATTTGGTACTTCTGCCTATAAATTATTTCAATTTACAAAGAATTCTTGGCATATCTACGAAATAGACAACTATTTGTTTTTGCCCATTCTATTAATGTATATTATTTGCTGTTATGAATAAATAACAATAATGCAACTGGGTTCTTGGAGATTAAAATTCATATTCTACTTAAATCTATTTCGATGCAAATATAAGAATAGATTCTTATATTTGCAATTTTTGTGAGTAAAAGTATTTTTAAATGAGCGACGTGACATGCAGTTCACATTTTATTTTTTTTTACAGTAACAACGATCTAACATATAAACAAATCGTAGAGAATGTTGTCTTTGACGATATAAAACTGAATATTAATACTGACATTGAAAGTTTCAGAAAAAAATTAATTAAAATTTTGATAACAAAATGTAGATGGTGTAAAGAGTAGATGATACTTATATTGTATTAAATATGAGGAAGTTAATTCTGAAAAGATTAAGCCAAATATTATGAATAAAGATTATATAAGGAATTGGAAAAAATTGACAAGAGTTGAAGATCAGTTGTCAGCTTCTACAGATTTGTGCATTGGCTGAGATTCTGAAACATTCATCAATCAGTTCCAAATCACAAAAACGCGATTCTGGCAATCCATCATATAATTTTTTGTTTGAAAATATTGTCTCACAGCATGGTCAGTTACATTTATTTATTTATACCTACTGCTGTTGTATTTTTATGTAACAAATTTAAATTTGTGATAAATATTTCAGTTTTTCTTCAGCCGAATTCTTTCCCCAATAAACTACGTCACTGATTGATTTAATAAAATAAATATTACAATAAATCATTTTCTTAAAATGTTTCACCTCACACTTTCAGTATAGTTTTAAAGTAATAAACAAAGCTAAATCTTTCATTTTTACTAACACTTTACGTCGATATGTTTATCGTGCTCCACATTTGAGTTTAGTAATTTTTAATATCTAAATCCAACATGTATTGCCGACCAAATAATAGAATTTCAGATTCATTGAGGTGAATATAAACAGTTGAAATTTAAGTCAACAGTTAAGGTAAATGTGTGCTTAAAATTCAACGGAAATATCTCTTCTATTTCGGGCAATTGTCAATGGTTAATCAATTTCTCGGCTGGTCGCTACGTCGAATAATGTTATAGCTGTTTTCCAATACGGATTTTATAACGAAAAATTAGTTTTGATAAACCTACCTTCCATTTACAATATTAATGTCCTAGCCACGAAAATTATTCTATGTGCCTTGTATATCAAATCTCTAAAGACTTTCAGCAAGGCTCCTCATTCGAGTCTTGTTGAGCATGTGAATTTTGGTGATGATGATAATAATAATAATAATAATAATAATAATAATAATAATAATAATACTCTTTATTATTCCAACAGGAAGAAACCCAATTACATCATGGCAACCGGTTACGATTGATTTTCAACTGTGTACCGGATAGTTATTACCTTAAATAATTTCAAATGATATTCAATTCAGGAGTTCCTCAGGGATCTCATTTGCATCCTCTATTGTTTAGCCTTTTTTGAACGATATGAAAACGTGTTTTCAATATTCTAATATATCTATGTATGCTGACGATATAAATACTTATAAAAGAGTATATAGATCGGTTTAAAATTTTTTGCAATAACTATTAGCTTTTTAAATATAAATAAATGCCACAAATTTCTATTGCTTGCGAAATCGTTTTACTGTAAATATACATCTTAATAGTGTTGAAATCGATTTTGTGAATAAGGTTGGGGATCTACGTGCCAAACTGTACAATAAAATACTTTTGCCGTTTTATCTCAATAATTACATTTATGTGGTTGAATCCATTTTAAAATACGCTTGTTTTGGAATCCTTTTTTAGACAAGTATGCCAGGAAATAATTTGTTACAAAAGATTTACTCAATCAAATATAGCTTTAATAGATATATACATTATTTTTCTTTTGATAGCAACCTATCATTTTAAAATTTAGAACGTTTAGGCCTTAATAGAGGTTTCCTTGTCTACAAAGTATGTAACAATTTATTGGATTCTCCATATTGTACAGACTATCGGTGTTAATTGTAGACCATATACCATTAGGAACAGGCGCAGTTTTTAGTTTTACATTTCAATAAATTATATTTTTGCTCATAATAAATAATATCGATTCAAAAAACTTATAACAAAAATTTTTCCTTTAAATAATATGCAATGTAAAATGTAGTGTTTACTTAGGCAGTCGGTTAGATTTCGGCCATCCTACTAACTTGTGTTCCCTGCTATTGTGATAAGTTATTTACTTGTTTTGTATAAATAAATAAGCTTCTTTGACGTATCGAGAAATAGATTGCTTTCTATTCTGTAACTGGAGATTAAGTCTCCTGGCCGGTATTACCATTTGTTGCCCAGGCTGGTCTATTACGTCCTGGTGTATAGTTTAAAGTCACTACCTTACGAAATTACTTGGTACTCAGGTATTAGTAGTTTTTAAATTCCAGTAATTCTTAAGCTCTTATCCACGTCGAAAATTATTTCGATTTTTTTAGATTTTCGTTGTTTTCCTCTGATCACTGATCAAAATCTTATCTCATTTGCTAGAATTTTGGTCGTACATAGATTTATTAGTGTCATATGCTCTGTAACTGCTGATTTTGCTCGGCTCTTATTCTTTAGGTTCAATTCTACACAAATTGCTATAGCCAAGCAACAAGCACTGTAAGGACAGCTAAAATTTTCGTAAAAACATTGTTTTTACTATATCTTCAAGACGGGTGGACCAAAGTAATTTAAACGTACTTCAGAGTATTTATTACCTAATAACTGTAAATGATTTGAATATGGTGATGTCAAATTTTAAAGTTCAAGGACGGATATTCAGGAGTATCTTCGTTCCTTTCTTGAACAGTACTTCTACGCCACTGGAGTGTTCACAAAAATAGTAATATTTTATAAAAGAGAAGGGTAAATTAGAGCGTAACCTGCCAACATCTTCTGCAATATTAATTCATACAAACTTTTTTACTTTCTATTAGTACAACATTGAAAAGTGATTTTTACTTTATTTTGAGTATTAAGTAGTAAGGTATCAACTGCAGTTAAAAATTAAAATGAAAAAATTTAAAAGTGATCTACCGACAAGGATTCTAGCATCATATTTTAAAAACACCTCGAAGACGATATGTCCTCTTGAAATGAGGTTAGAATATACTGTTTAATTTGCACAATTTTTTCAGCAAATGTTACTGTTTTTGAGAAAATTTCAATGGCGTACAGTACTGCTGAAAAAAAGAAGAAACGCTTCTGGATTTCTTTTCTAAAATTTGAACTGGTCAACCTGTTTGGAAGGTATAAACAAAAACAACTTTTTTGATGAAATCTGCACCCCATATACCCCGTGATATGTTCATATTTCTTTTATTTTTAAGGGTATTCTTTACTTCTAAAAATGTTCACTTAGTGTAACACCCAGTATGTATTTATAAATACATATATGTCTAAATTAGTGGCAACCAGAATTTTTTTACCTTACTTCTCTATGTATTGTTTTATTTTTGAATATTTTTTAGTTGTTTTATTTTTGTTCCGATTTTCTATACATTATTATTCTTTTAGGGTAGCTGTGTGTGGAACAACGTGTCCGGGAGGCAGGTTGTCCTCAGCGATACTTCCTTGCTTCATTTGAGTGAAGTTGAAAGGAAAGTCTTGCAGAAAGTTGCTATCGCCAAGTTGCAGGCCCTGAATCTAGGAGTTTCCGTCAAGGTACCAAGTGGTAAGAAATTATCTCTTAGTGTTAACTGAACTTAATGGTTGTTGTATTTAAAATCGCAGGTAAAGTATTAAGGAATAGTGTTTAGCGTTTCAATCAGTGAATGTAAAAAATGGAACTGAAGATTACCATAATTTTACCATATCAACCACTGATTTATATTTGTTCTTTTCAATTTCGTGCGTTAATAATACAAGTGTATGATTATTGGTAAGACAGGCCTATTGATAAGGGTAACTTACTTTAATTTAGTATAATTATTCAAAAACAAAAACCACATGCTATTTATTATGCAGTCTCTGACTTCAGAAGAACTAGACTTCAGGGCAGGGCAGTCAGGGCCAACTTTTCTAATTATGTGGAATTAAAGTATATTTGCTGGTCGCTCACTCTATATACAGGGTGTCTCACTATTTCATATGAAAGGAATTATCACAAATTTTTGCTATTAAAAGTAGCCTTATTTAACCGCCAGATAGCACCAAGGTTGGCAAAAAATTGTAGTTTTGCCAATATAATGTCTGAATTTATTTCTGGCATTTTCTTTAAGCAGTTTTTCTTCTTTGTGTAGTAAAATATTCAAAAAAGAATAACTCTAAAATGCTTTGCCCCATTTAAATAACGTTTGGTATGCAAGTACTATTATGCAGATGTTAGTAATCAAACTATTTGGTTTTAGAGAAATAGGGAAAATCAGGCAAATGCGTTCATAATTTTTTGGCGGGTAACGTGGCAACTTCAAGGTTAGTTTATAAAATAAAAAAAAAATATGCTTTGTCGATTACTGGAAATAATAATATAATCAATGACTAAATAAATCTGTTGGGTGGATAAATTAAATTAAATAATCTTTTTTTGATTACAAGAGCACTATGTACACGTAGCATTGCGACAGTCTGTACAACTTTAACATATATTCCATTATCTGATTTTATTTTGAATATATTAGTTTAATCAACATCTTACAACTGCAATAAGAGGAAAGCGTTTGATTATACCCACAAGGCGACGCAAAGCGAAAGTGTAACTGAACTTTACGGACAATTTAATTGGATTTCTATCTAAGCACAGCTGATTAATTTCTATTAGGTATTGAGAGAAGATCTCTCGCTACTTCAAAGCGGTACATCGAAATTGCATTTTACTTTTCCACGAGTCAGGAAGATAAATTAATGCCAGTTCAGTATTTATGCGCCTTTCAGTCTGCAATATTGAAAAGTTATATCTCGCATTTAATTACCTAATTAATAATTTCTTATCAATTTATTGACTTCCTTCACTACTAAGTTTCGCGAGAAGTTACGAAATTAAATATTTTTCGTGGTTTTGAAAAGCGTAGAAAATTAAAAATGCACTGACTAATATTTTTAGAAATATATGAAGATCTTAATACATTTTGTTGACCTTATAATTAAAAATTTTAAAGGATTTTTCCCACTGTTGAAGAAACTTTAGTAATGCATTCTTCTAGTCTGGTGCAAATATGGAACATGTAGACTTAATAAACTGAACCATAAAATAAAATCACTTATACCTACTATAGACTGGTGCAGTCCTGGCTAGATTCATTTGAAATGGCCATTGAAGTTTGCGACGAATTTGCTTTGATGTCATCAATAGTCTGAAAACGGCGTCTATTCGGCACTGATTTTAAATTCGGAAATAAGAATAAATTGCAAGAAACTAGGTCTGGCGAGAAAGAAGGGTGGGGGAGGACGGTAATATAATTTTTGGCATAAAACTGATGAATTGACAAAGCTATACACTCAGATTTTTTTTCCCACAACTCTGCAATCTTTTTCCGGATTTTTTCACGTAACCATTGTAAAATATCTTGTGTGTACTATACACAGAGTTCACTATTTCACCTTGAGGCAAGAATTCAAAATGCACAATTCCATTAAAGACGACAAAAAGAACATCACTTTGACATTGGATCGAGACTTATGTGCTTTCTTGGGACGGGCGTGGAGATCTTATGCCAATCCATTGTGATGATTGAACTTTTGTCCTAATTGTTTCATCGTCACTTGATTGTTCAAGGAGTTGCCGACAAACGCCGATAATATTTTTTTTCTGTTGTTTGGTCATCAAAGGAAAAACAAATTTTGCTGACCCAATTGAGGTGTTAACCTTTTCTTCAATTTCTCTGACAGTCAAGCAGTGATTTGCACTCACCACATCAGTTGAAGTTGAAGAGTTTCCTGGTCCAGGATCATCTTCAATTGACTGACGACCGCTTTTAAATCGTGAAAGTTGAAAAGTTCCCGTGAGTTTTCCCCAGTTTCACGCAAAATTTTACGTTGTATCGTTATTCCAGAAAATCGTACATTTCAAAAATAGTCACTAGCATTTAAGGGGGTATCCTCGTATAGATTGCAAAAAATCAATACGAATTTTTTTTGAGAAAACTGTACAATATTTTTATTTGAAACTGACACTATTTTATTTGTAGTTTAAGAAAACATAAACATTTTTTTTCTCTTTATTTGTGCCACGTTTCACAACCGCTATATCATTCTGAAACAAGCCAATCGAAGTTTTTTTTATTATAACACTTATACCTCATTCATGAACCTAATTTAAAAGTATAAAAAAATTTATTAACAAAATGGCGGCCATTTGAAAAAAAAATTACTAATGTTTTTCATTGTTTTTTCAAAAAATTTATTAAATAATTATTTTTAACAAAATCCTTTAGGTTAGTGGATTAGCTAATTAAATTTCCTTTAAAATGGTATTTTTTTTTTCGATAGGTAGAAAATTCGTTGAGTAATCGGCGGCATAAACTAGGAAAATTGAAGAATTTTCATTTCGAGAAAAATCAGTTTGAAGTTTGAGGTAAACGAAAATTGCGAGTTTTTTGATACGGCTATTTATCCATCTTTCGCCTAATTAGCAATGCCTGCACCATAAAGGAGATCTTCTTCCTGTTCAAATTGTAGTGATTCGGCAGCAGCTCTCATTTTTTTCGCTAATCGAGCTTCTTTTGCGTTCCGCGCGGCTCTGCCCTCCGAAGGACGTTTGCGAAAGTAGCCCTAGCAGCTAAATCGTTTTGAATTTCGCTTTAAAATTTTAACAGTGTATTCCTGAAATGTTATACTTTCGATTTTTGTAATAAAAAAATCGATTTTTCTATAAATTTATACGAGGATACCCCTTTAAATAGGTTGTACTCAAATAACAATATCACCAAAATTAACAGATATATCAACGATTCAAGAACATGTGTTACAGAGGAGGTAACGCGCAATGTAATATTGCCAACCGCATATCACTAAATATTTTCATTAGCGCGTAATTCAAAGAGTTCGGTTATTTTTTGAACAGACTTCGTACTTGCATAAATTAAGTTTGTAGAAATAATATGCCAGTATTTGTAAACGTTTGAGATAGATTTTCTAGAAGTCATTAGCATTTTCATAACATAGAGCGTATTTTTATTTATCAGATAAAAGAACGCCGTACATTTATGGAAAAACATCGTGCAGAGAAAGATTTTAAACCCTTAACAAATACTGCTATCTAGTGGAGCTTCCAATTTACACCCCTAGGCACTATTTGTATTTTTATAGGGCACCGTAATTTCGAAACCAATTTGGTCGGTCGGTCACGATTAATCGTTTTACGGATTCTACCTGATTTTCCGGCTCCCTTCAACTTCAACCAACACTTTATTGTCACTGTTTCTCTCACGTATACATGACACTCATATGGTTTGAATATTAATACGATTTGATACATATTTGTATTGTAGTAAATAGTAAAAATAGAATCATACTAAAATTTCAATAAGCTTTATTCTCTGGATACAAATATGTATTTAATACATATATCTCGTTTCTACGTATCACGAGTAATACTTATTTGGATGAATTCATTGACTACCTATTCAGTACGTGCTTGTTTGATACGTAGTAACTACTTAGATAGGTACTTTTATTTTATAGTGAATATAATTTTTACATTCAATAAATGTGACAAAAATAAGACAAAATACCATACGACTATAAATTACAAAATAATATAACGAGCGTTCAAATAAAAACGTGGTCAAGTTGGTTCTGAAAATTTGGACGTAGGGCGTAGCGTATAGCAAATGAACTTAAACGTCATCTGTCAAAGCGCTATATCGCCGCTATCAATTTGAATATTTTCGTTTTAAAAAGCGTTTAAAATGGTGTTTTCTCAAGAACAAAAAGTGTTTATCATAGAGTCCTACTTTAGAAATGGACGCAAGATTGATGGAATATGGAAGTATTCTATTGAGGAATGTTTCATAGAATTTCAAAATCAATTTCCCGGCGTTGTTGAGTACAAAATTTTTCAAAGTGCAGTTCAGCGTTGTGTTAATGTTTTTCGTGAAACGGGCAGTGTAACAAGAAAAGAAGGAAGCGGCCGACCTAAAAAGCGGACTGAAGAATTAAAAGAAAATGTCCAACAAATAATGGAAAATGCGCCAAGAACTTCTGTACGTGTTTTATCACAAATGGTGGGAGTATCAGTCGGTACCTGCCACACAGTGTTAAAAAAAGATTTGCGTTTGTTCTCCTATCGTTTAACTTGTCAGCAAGAACTTCATGAAGTTGATTTTCCGCGACGGGCTGTATTTTGTGAATGGTTTTTAAACAACTACGGTGAACTTCATAATATCACCTTTTTTTCTGATGAAGCCTGGTTTCATTTAAGTGGTTACGTAAACTCACAGAATATGAGAATGTGGTCTTCTGAAAAACCAGATAACTTTTTTGTCGAGGGCCCTCTACACGCTCAAAAAATTGGAGTTTGGTGTGCTCTCAATCGAAGGAGGATTTATGGACCTATTTTTTTTAATGGTACTCTTACTGCGCAAAGGTATAGAGAAGAAATTATCGCTCCTTTTGTTAACCAGCTGGAAGAAAACGAAATTACAAACTTTTACTTTCAACAAGATGGCGCAAGGGCACATACGGCAGGCGAGACGATGAATATGTTGAGGGAAGTTTTCCAAAATCGACTAATAA